CTCTATATAAGCCTCCCTTTGAGCTATTGAAGCTCCGTGTTAATTGCTTGACAGTGGAAAACAGAGGCAGCCATTCTTTGGTGTCTTCCTCTCCTCCGTGCTCGCATTTTAACTAATTGCTCCCTCTATCTTTCTTCCTCCTTCGTGGCTGCAATTAATCACTATAATCGTGTCGTTTGTGGGTACATTAAAAGTAGCAACCAAAGTGAATAAATGGTGGGTATTAGACTGTAAATAAAGATTAGTTACTAAACTATAATTAGTTATTTACAGTCTAATAGTGGGTTTCAAGCCTTTATTTTGGTTGGTGTTTGATTGATTTTGATATTGAAATTGAGCTCGATTTGTGCACGTTTGGAAGTAATTCTGCAACACGACGAAATATCCTCTAATAGTGATGTATTTTTGTAGTTAACTGGATAGATAAAACTGTATGTACACCAAGTGTACATACACCTGTCTCACATAAATAGTGTGCGTGAATATTTTATTGTGTGTGGGACCCCCCCTCCATGTGAGGGGGGTGTAAAAGATTGTGTGAATGATTATGTACGTATAGCATGATTGTAACTGGATAGGGACAACTGACAAGTAACAACAAAATTCTACATTTTACTTGTATTTAAATTTAGAATATTTTAAATGATAGAAGATGACCTTGTGATTTTTTGACATGCAAATCATGGGTTGGCCGAAAGTTGTCCCATGTTCTGATTATCTGTTTATAGAACAAAAACTGATCGACATTGGTGAGCTATACCATCCATCCATGCATTTATTATTTATTTTCCTTTCTTTCCCAATTCCCCCAAAATATCTCCATAATTTATTTATGTTTTCCTTTCCCTAAAGCATATCCATATTGTTTATTTATTATTTATTTTCTTTTTATCAATCATATCCATAATTTATTTATTATTAGTGTTCTCTTTTTTTTTTTCCAAACATGCCCCTATTTATTTATTTATAATTATATTCACATCACAATTTTATTTTTTGCAGTGTATTTATTTATGGGTAATTATTCACACCACAATTTTTTTTTTTTACCACATTTTAATTACACTTAAAGTTCTTAATCTTTGCTCATATAGCACTTATGTCCTCAACGATTTTTCATGTCATTTTTATTCTCAAACTTTTCATTAAACAACACACTTTGTATTTGATATCAGTTTTATATCCAAGAATCCATTGAAATGATCTAAAACAAATTTAATTTTCCATCATATTTTTAAAAATAAATAAATAAAAATTGTGAAAAAAAACATTTTTTCCTCGTTCAAAAACATGAAAATAAAATATTTTGATATAAATAATCATCAATGATTAGAAGTACTTTAATGAAATGTTGAATATAAGAATTCGATGACAAACAGTTAAGGAAATAATTGCTACAATGAACAAAAATTGAAGAGTTTCTCTGTAATTAAAATGTAATATATCAAAAAAAAAACGTGTGGTGGCAATATTACCATCATTTATTTCTCTGAAATTGCAATCTTGTAAAATTGACTCTCCATTAATCATTTATGGAATTTTTCTAACAATGTAAACTTGTGCAACTCTCCTAAACAATGAAATGATGTCTTTGCCCCGATACCTAGTTTTCAGGTTGTGTTGTATATGATAGATGCAATATCCATGATGTGACTAGGAAAAAAATTCAACGATACCATTTATTATGGACGGTCCCCGATCAATTACCAAGGCAAGGTACTCGACGTCCCCAATTACTTCCCTTAACTTTGTGAAGAAACAAAGTATTGATAGAGTATTCTCGCTATCGATTATACTGAATGCAAGAGGGAACATTTGATTGTTGACATCTTGACGTGTAGCAATAATGAACTTGTCTTTGTATCTAACATTCAGAGTTGTATCTCGACTAGAATTAGGGTCACACCACATTTCGAAATTTTTGAATGCACTGTCCAAGAGCTATAAAAAAACTTGAAGCAATTCTCGTCATCCGTCTCAATAAAAAATACCAAGTCAGGATTAGTTGTCCCCTAGTACTCTCGACGGAAGTGGTTAATAATATCCGAAAGTTTGTAAATCGTTCGTGGGTTCTCATACTTGTGCATTATTCGTCGACCAATAAACCATGCTCGACTTGCCAATGATTATTTCGACGAATTCTCACTTCGCAAGTATGTTCCCGTGTATACTTGCGAACTATAAATAATTCATTCGTGTCCATTTTTGTCGCTCGCAAACACCGGCAACAATTGTCATCGATGTAGATAAATGTCGATAATGAGTTGTTTGATTTATTCACTTTGAGCTCAAAGTTTTATTTCAGTTCAATCCGGTGCACAATTTCCTTCAAATCTTTTTTAGTTTCAACACAATTTCTCAACATGCAAATCCTTATCAAGGGAACCTTACTGTGAAGAATTAGAGGACGGTCCACTCGATTCGCCTTTGAGCTTCCACCTCACTCATGTCGACGGGATAAAGTAACAAAATCCTCATTTGTAAATTCATTTTCGTTCTCATTGTCATGAACTGTTGAGGGAATTCTGCGCGTAACAGCGAGATTATGATGAGGAAAAATTGTTTTCGGAATAAAACACATCACCCTCACAAGTTATCTCCACCATGTCTCAAAAAATTATTGGCATTGTAATCCCCTCTATCCGAATCTTCGTGTTTACTTTCAACGACATTCTTCCCCACTAAAGTAACACAAAGAGGGATCGTGTGCATTTTATTTAATTCAAATGGATAATTTACTTCAGCATTAGAAGTAACTTTCATAGATGGAATCAAAATGGATGAATGCTCATTGAATTTAAATCTTAGTTCCATATCGTACCGAGAATGACCGATTTTCAACTTGTTTTGTAAATTATGGTACATTTTTGCATATGATGTATTCAATGTCATGAAAATTGGGATACCAACATGTATATCACTCGTCCATTTTCATACCCATCGATTTTTTTTCATTCAATTTGAAATCGCCAAAGTAATAAACCGAGATTACGACCATATGTGCACGACGAAACAAAATTTTTTATTATAAAAAAATAGTCGAAAAATCTGCCCAACCACTATACAACATAATTTTTAATTAAAAATAATAATAAAAAAGTCGAATGAGCTAACAGGCAACTAGTTGTTTAGTTGTTAAGGCTGGCTAGCTATTAACAACCCCCTTTGTATATTGTCATGAATTTCGCTTGAAAGAATATACATGCAGATGAATTTATTTTCTTATTTATGTTTAAAAATAATTATAGATCTATCAAAAAAATTAATTTACATGTTAATCTATGTCGAAATAAGATTTATCGATTAAAAAAGTATACTAATTAAATGAATTTAAACATACGTAAATATATTTATCGATTCGAAGTGATAGATATAAAAAAATGTTTTCTTTTTGAGCGTTTCATAAATTTTTTAGATTGAAACATATAAAAATGAAAGAGTTTTTATTGTGAAAATATACCAGAAAATGATCCAAAAGGCCATTGCTCAAAGAGGAAATTACACCAAACCAGGTCTTAAGTTTGACATTTTTAAAAACCAGGTTTTCACATATTTTTTCATTTATTAGGTTTTTTTTATCATTTTAATTAAAAAATTAATCTATTAAAACCCTAATTTATTTATCAACTCCTCACCCCCTCCCCCCCACACATCGTCTCTCTCCCTCCCTTCTCCCCTTCCCCCTCCCTATGATTGGTAGCATGACGCTACTGAACTACAACGTCTGCTACCGATTCACAGCGCCAACAGCTTCATTATTGACACTTTTCACTCTCACCGTACAAATCCGGCCAAATAAGAACGAGGGAGAGGACGGAGGCCAGTTGGTCCGCGTACGCGAGCCAGGGGAAGCAGTTGCAGAAGACCGGAGCATAAAAGCACAGATCTGAGCCTGGAACAACAATTTATTGACTCAGTGAGTTCCGGAGGCACTGACTTGCGAGTCCCTGAGTTGAGCCAACGCGCCGGACTGGAATTGGATGAAGTTGTGCTAGATGTGGGTGTGGCTGTAACGGAATTGGATGAAGCTGAGTTGAATTGTTATAAGCATCCACTCGTGTGTAGTGAATGTTGTCTGAAATTTTGCATATTTTGAATGTGAGGTTGTTGTTTGGCGTCGATGAAGTTTGTGGGTTGGGATTTGCGACGGTAGTAATTGTTGTTTTTTTTTTATTATTATTATGGCGGTGGTTGTGGTGGTGTTGTGACGGGGCGACGATGATGGTGGTGGTAGTGATGTGCAGGCGGCGACCGTGGTGGTTTGGTTGTGATTGTTGTTGGTGTTATTGTTGGTGGATGGTCGTGGCGACGGAGGTGGCGACGGCAGGCGGATGCGACGAAGAGTGTCTGTGACCAACTATTTGGTCGATTTGTGACCATGTGTTGGTAATGTATTGGGATTGGGGATGGGGTTTAACGGCGGTGGTGATTTTTTTGGTGTCTATGACCTAGCTACTGAATTGTGACTTTAAAATTGATAATTTGTAACTAAAAAAAAAATATGTGACCTTTGAAAATACGTGATTTGTGACATTATTTTTTTGATCTGTGACCAATAAAATAATCTGTGACCTATAAAATTTTAGATCTGTGATCTCGAAATAATCCGTGACCTATAAAATTTTTGATCTATGACCTATAAAATTTTAGATTTGTGACCTCAAAATAATTTGTAACCTACAAAATTTTTGATATGTGATCGAAAAACAGTGGTCGCCGATCATCGGAGTAGACGTCGGAGTAGTGGGGGTGGTGCAGGTGGAGGTGGAGGTGGGGATGAGTTAATTATATTATATTACAGTTAAATATTTAATTTAATATACTAATTGTGAAATATAATTAATTAATTCATAAAAAATTTATTTTTACAATTTTAAACCTTGAAGCCTGATTTTTTATTTTGGAATAGTAACAGCTTCATTATTGACACTTTTCACTCTCACCGTACAAATCCGGCCAGATAAGAATGAGGGAGAGGACGGAGGCCAGTTGATCCGCGTATGCGAGCCAGGGGAAGCAGTTGCAGAAGACCGGAGCATAAAAGCACAGATCTGAGCCTGGAACAACGATTTATTGACTCAGTGAGTTCCGGAGGCACTGACTTGTGAGTCCCTGAGTTGAGTCAACGCGCCGGACTGGAATTGGATGAAGTTGAGCTAGATGTGGGTGTGGCTGTAACGGAATTGGATGAAGTTGAGCTAAATTGTTATAAGCATCCACTCGTGTGTAGTAAATGTTGTCTGAAATTTTGCATATTTTGAATGTGAGGTTGTTGTTTAGCGTCGATGAAGTTTGTGGGTTGGGATTTGCGACGGTTGTAATTGTTGTTTTTTTTATTATTATTATGGTGGTGGTTGTGACGGGGCGATGATGATGGTGGTGGTAGTGATGTGCAGGCGGCGACCGTGGTGGTTTGGTTGTGATTGTTGTTGGTGTTATTGTTGGTGGATGGTCGTGGCGACGGAGGTGGCGACGGCGGGCGGATGTGACGAAGAATGTCTGTGACCAACTATTTGGTCGATTTGTGACCATGTGTTGGTAATGTATTGGGATTTGGGATGGGGTTTAACGGCGGTGGTGATTTTTTTGGTGTCTGTGACCTAACTACTGAATTGTGACTTTAAAATTGATAATTTGTAACTAAAAAAAAAATATGTGACCTTTGAAAATACGTGACTTGTGACATAATTTTTTTGATCTGTGACCAATAAAATAATCTGTGACCTATAAAATTTTAGATCTGTGATCTCGAAATAATCCGTGACCTATAAAATTTTTTATCTATGACCTATAAAATTTTAGATTTCTGACCTCAAAATAATTTGTAACCTATAAAATTTTTGATATGTGATCGGAGAACAGTGGTCACCAATCACCGGAGTAGTCGTCGGAGTAGTGGGGGTGGTGGAGGTGGAGGTGGAGGTGGGGATGGAGATGGGGATGGGTTAATTATATTATATTACAGTTAAATATTTAATTTAATATACTAATTGTGAAATATAATTAATTAATTCATAAAAAACTTATTTTTATAATTTTAAACCTTGAAGCGTGATTTTTTATTTTGGAATAGATAAAGACTTTTGAATTTTTCCTTGCTCAAATATTCAATTGTTGAAAATAAATCAGGGGGCGAGCCAAATTTCAGCGTACGCCCGCCAGCCAGTCACCAGCATTCTCTCTCTTAAATCGGGACCTCAGTAGAGGAAGCTCCAATCCTCTGCTTCTCCGGCACTTGAATCAGACACTAGCCGCCGGCCGATCGGAAATGATTACCATTCCATACCTCACTGCCTTGACAACTTACTTCAGCTATGGACTTCTCTTCGTCTTCGGCCAATTGCGTGATTTCTTCCGCAAAATCATCGATTGGTGGTCACATAGCAGCCTACAGGTAAATTTTGTTTGTTATGTCTCTATATTCATTGATGTGATTTGGTTTGATTTGAAATGGTGGTGTCGTTTTTGTAATGGAAGGGCTATGCACCGATCTGCTTGGGCCTAGAGGATTTCTACATTCGGCGGTTGTATCTGCGGATTCAGGTAATTTGAAAATGATTTTTTGTTGCTAGCATTTTTTGACTTTAGTTTTTGGGTTCTTCTTGTTTTGTTTTATGTGGATAAATTTGCAGTGAGCGATGCAGCTTGTTAAAAATGAGAATCATTTCCCATAAAATATCAAAAAATTTCTTAATGTAGAACTTATTTGAAATTTGTTAGTAATGATTGCAGTCGTGTACTGCAATTCATGTCATTTTTCAGGGATAGATTTTAGGGGAGGTAGATAGAAAGCAGTCATCTTTTTAAGAAATAAGGGAGAGAAGTGGAATCAAACGAAAAGGTGACAGATCACTGTGGAATGAAAATATTAAACAGATGATTAAATGATGTGTTGCATGGACACGGGTGGTGACACTTTGGATCATTTTTCTTTCTTAATGAGAAATATTATATATTTATAATGCAAAGTTATTATTTAATAATAAATAGGTACTCTTATTTAAAAGTTTTTAATAAGAAAAATTAATAACAAGTATAAAACTAAACTTATACTATATAAATGAAGAATTTTAAGGAATTTAATCAATGTGTTGGTGACGTATTATGACACTACTTTTTAAAAAAAATCGCATGAATAGCGTGTCGATGACCAGGTGCGGATCCAAGATTATGATTCCGGAGGCGAGATAGAATTACGTAAACAATGAACAAAAGAGAAGGCAAAAGCAACAATAGAAATTTGCCTCGACATTTTCTTCTATAGAAAATTCCTCAATGCATGGTTTATCTGTGTCAACATTTTCTTCAATAGAAATTTGAGATACTTGTTTAAAATATCTCAGCATATCTTCCTTCAAATCAAACGAAGCTTGCATGAACAAAAGAGAAGGCAAAAGCAACATAAAACAACAACTTGCATAAACAAAAGAGAAGGCAAAATATCTCAACATATCTTTAGTTTTGCACCACTTGATGTTTATAAATAAGATCAAGCCCAAAGCAGCAAAAAGCTACAGTTTTATGTATAACAAATAACAAGAGAGAAGGCAAGAATCCAATTTGTTTTCTAAGCTCAAAACTAGGAAAAAAAAGCAAAAACATTTTATATAATTTTCAAAGAGAAAATAACGTCAATCTCCAAAAAAAAAAAACTCCAGCTATACACTCACAACACCCCTGTAGGTAAAAATCTTAGATTCACAATTCATTGCACAAAATAATGGAGATGTTAAAATAAGTTTAAATTATAAGCTAATTTAAAAGGTTTCATTACTGTCCTTAACAAGAAAAGAGGGTTAAAATATGTTTGAAAGTTGATTCTCATACAAATTATACAATGAGCAATCTATCATGTTTCACATCTTAAACCACAGATATCCTACTCCTACTTCCCAACTTTACCTAAAGGCAGAATACATTTTTCAGACAAAAGGTGAAATTTCGAGGTCGTCACATTGGGGATTTGATGAGAGGTTTTACTATCCAAGAACAAAATAACTATCAAAACATAAATAATAAGATTAAGAAAGACAGGGATTACGAAATTTTGCTTCTTCAATGTGTTCTTTCAAAATATGCGATGGGAATCCCAGAGATTTGAGATTAAAAGGAATCACAGGGGTTTAAGTGAACTGGAATCGCATCCTCGCAGGAACAATTGGAGGAAGGGGAAAGGGTTTGTGCTGGTATGTAATGTCAAGACTTTGTTGGTTTTTGGGCTGAAAAGTATGGGCTTGTAAAAAATTAAAAAAATCTAGAAGTCTAGTGGGGACAATTACACCCATTGGACCCTTAATGGGTCCGCCCCAGTCAATGACACACGTGTCCGTGTCTGAACATTATAGATTAAATGTTATTACTATAGTAGTGGAAGGAAAATGTTTTTACATGTATAACCGGATGATGTGATGGGTTCAAGTTTTGGTGTCGCTTGGACTTTTTAGCTAAGACTAGTGGATTTAGATTTCTTGAGTTTGAATTCATTTTAATGGATATTCTCAGAGGACTCTCCAGTGGTTTAATATAGATACACATGCACTCACATATATGTAAAAGTCTGACCGCCATTGCTTAAGATGAATTCTTAGTTGGAAAGTTTACAAAATCTTGACAATGATAAGCAACAGGAATGTCATTTTGTTCAGATTTTGTTGTTTCATGCTGGTGGTGTATAGTCTACCCATTAACAAAATAGCAGCAATTTTTTGCGAGCCTTTAACCATATATAAGCCTTAACGTTTCCATGCTGCATTTTAGCCAAGCTAGTTAAAGTTGCTTTTATCATTTTTGCCCACTTAATTTTTAGGATTGCTTTAATCGACCAATATCAAGCCCTCCAGATTCTTGGTTTGATGTGGTGGAGCGTGTCTCCAAAGACAATAACAAAACACTACAGTAAGTATTTATGTTCCTGGTTTACGATTTGTTTATCACAGTAAGCATTGTTGACCTCTGATTCTGATCACTATTGGATTATTGATGTGGCGTTGGACTGCATAACAAATCCAAATGCTATTTGAAACTCAGAAGCAAGGTTCTTCAACCTAAATGCCACTTTAATTCTAAATATTCTCCTGACTTAGTTGCATCCCATGCAGGCGAACCAAAAACGTCAGTAGATGCCTCAACCTAGGATCATATAATTATCTAGGGTTCGCTGCAGCTGATGAATACTGTACACCTCGTGTAATTGAATCCTTGAAGAGGTTTTCCCCAAGCACCTGCAGTACGCGGGTTGATGGAGGTAAATACACGTTCCTCACAAGCTGCTACACTATTGGACTTTTCTCTGAAAATTAAGATGAGTGCTGATGTGTACTATTAATCAATGGAACTATGTCACCAGGAACAACAACATTGCACACCAAACTGGAGCAGTGTGTGGCAAGGTTTGTTGGCAAGCCGGCTTCTGTAGTCTTTGGCATGGGTTATGTAACCAATTCTGCCATTCTTCCTGTGTTAATTGGAAAGGTAAATCCAATTACCTTGATTAGAATTGTCTGTCGTGTTCTGCATCTGTATATAAATCTTCTCAATCAATTTGGATGCAGGGAGGTTTGATCATTAGTGATTCTCTGAACCATAACTCCATAGTAAATGGCGCTCGAGGATCTGGAGCTACCGTTCGAGTTTTTCAACATAACAGTAATTTTGATGTTTATTTTGTTTTTTCAGAGCCAAGATATTTCTTCACGTGCTTTTCTTATGCGCATGTTGTTCTGTCGTCCTTTCTCTAGCACCGTCCCATTTGGAGAAAGTTCTGAGGGAACAGATTGCTGATGGACAGCCTAGAACTCACAGACCTTGGAAGAAAATATTTGTTCTGGTAGAGGGAATATACAGCATGGAAGGGGAGCTGTGCAAACTCCCCGAGATTGTTGCCGTATGTAAGAAATATAAGGTAGATAGTCCTAGGAAGTTAATTGTCTCTTGTTTGTATGATTACTATTAACTTGCATATTTTGGAAATAATCTACGGGTTACACCTTCTTGGTTTGTTAGGATGAAAGCTTCTCCTTTTATACTAAATTGACTTGCTTATTAAGCGCTTGTTTGAGCCCCATTTTTGGCTAAGAATTCATTTTTGAATAGTAGATTGATGGAGAATATGTGGTTAAAAAATAACGAAAATTTTTGGATTTGCATGTAATATTATTTTATTGAAGAATGTGTGGTTGAAAAGAAAAGAAAGAAAACGTATTTTGGAAATAATGAGAATCAAACAAGGGCTAAGAATGTGAAGTGGGTCATTCGTCATGAGTTTTCTTTCTTCGTAATATAGAAGAAATTTAGATATCAGTTTTGCACTTCTTTGGAACTTTGGGCATTCTTCTTATTCATGTGCATATAGATTGATACTCTTCATGTAACAGGCTTATGTTTATTTGGACGAGGCTCACAGCATTGGACGACAACCGTTTTGTCCTTCCCCACTCTGTGAACTCTTAGGAGTTGATACTGCAGATGTGGATGTCATGATGGGAACTTTCACTAAATCATTTGGATCGTGCGGTGGTTATATTGCAGGATCCGAGGTTCTTTTACTATGCCCCACTTTCATGTACACTTGAAGATATGGTACCATGTAGATATAAGGAAGTGTTCTGCATGACTTGACTGGATGTATTTTAATGCCAGGCAACTTATCAAATAAATTGTATCAATCATCATGTATGAGAAATTCTACTTTTTACATATGTACATAATATTTAATTTCTGCGAAATGTAACTACAAAAAATGCTGAAACATTAGGGGCAATGAAGAGCTCTTGTAAGTGTATTGTGCAGTTAAAATGTGTTTTCAATTGAGCTGACTTCTATTTCACTTCAGAACACCCACACTCTGAGAATCGTCTTTTCAACTATTAATAGTTCAACGAGTGCTGCTTAGATTGACGAGTCTTGATGAACATGTATTTGAAGTGTAAACCCAGAAAAATATTGGCACGTGATTATAATCTAGACAATTAAGCATGTGAAATTGAATTTCTCTATCACTTCCTTGCGGGATATAGACTTAAAGCTTTAACCTTCTTGCTTTGATATGAGAAAGAGATTATTATGTATTGATATTAGTTTAATATCACAGTCCTCATCAGAAAAAAATCTTTCTAGTTTTAAAAAAGTTTGTATCTGAAAGCAAATTTCTTCTAATTGCTTCCTTCATATTAAGTGCAACGTCAGAGACAGAACCTCTGATTTTTTTCTTCACCCTACTCGTGCTTGTTTTTATCATTTCATTTAAATTTTCAGGAACTTATTCAATACTTGAAGTATGCATGCCCTGCTCATCTTTATGCTACATCAATATCACCTCCAGCTGCACAACAAATTATTTCTTCCATTGAGGTTATTCTTGGAGAAGATGGTTCTAGCAGAGGTGGGATTTTCTCTGCCTTCTATGACTAACAAGTCGATCTCAATTGAGAGTTTTACTCACAATTAGAGCAATTTGTCACTGCAGGGGCTCGGAAAATAGCACGGATACGTGAAAACAGCAACTTTTTCCGGTCTGAATTGCAAAAAATGGGTTTTGAGGTTTTGGGAGACAACGATTCTCCTGTTATGCCCGTTATGCTGTACAATCCATCAAAAATTCCTGCTTTTTCACGGGAGTGCCTCAAACGAAATGTAAGGTTTTGTTTTTTTTTTCTCAAATGCCGTTTGCATTTTTCATTTCTCACTCAACGTTCCATCAATGTATGGTTTCACTTGAACCTTGATTTCACTGGTCATGACTCTTTGTTCTGCTGCATAGGTGGCTGTTGTAACAGTTGCTTTTCCAGCTACCCCTTTACTGTTGGCCCGTGCGCGCATTTGCATCTCTGCTGCTCATACTAGGGAAGACCTTGTTAAAGCTTTAGAGGTTAGAATCTTATCTTGTAGTACTGATTTTCACTTCTGATTTTTCTATACTCTTCTATGTTTTCCTACCTCAGCAGCCATTTTCTGTAATACCACACATTTATTGTAATACTTTATACTGCAAATTGCACCATTGGTCTCTAATCTATTGCTCCACTACCAAGTCGGTTTCCACTGTTTTAAAAGGAGTAAATTAGGCCTGTTTCAGATAGATTCTGCTTGTGGAAAAAAGCACATTGGGCCAGCTTCCATTAAAGCTTTTCTAGTCAGGAAAAGTACAAAAAAAAATTATCCAATCATGCTCAAAAGTAGCTTTTTACTTTTAAAGCAGCTTTTGGCTTTTCAAAAGCAATGCCAAACATGCCCTTACCTTCCATATAGTTGCACAATGACAAACATTCTAAATTTCTGTTAAATCGTCTGGTGGCCCTAGCAAATCTAATTTTATGAAGATAGGTTTTGCTTCCCGATTGGGCCGATTGCCAAGAATACAAAGTAAATCATGTTTCCACAAGGCCATATTGTCACTTAATGAATATTTTGACCGTTTCTGACATTGGAAAATATTGCCCAGTAACTAATATGTATTTGTACCAGGTTATCAGCAGTGTAGGTGATCTAGTTGGTATAAAGTACTTCCCTGCTGAGCCCAATAAACAGCAGCTAGAGGATGGCAGAGTCAAAATGGATTGAGGAGAAACTTTGAATTTTAAACCAGGGTCTAGAGTTGCAAAGGTATTTTTTTGTTCCTCCTAGCTAGGACCTTGATGTTGTGACCTAAGAAATTTTGTTTATTTATTTTGAGTACAAAAAGTTGTAACTTATTACAAATTGGTAAAATTTGCTATACTGTTGTGACGTAAATATTATTCTTTATTTTCTCTCCATCTTTTTTTGTATGAATATGGTTGTTTGGCCTTATTTGTAGTTTTCCCACATGGCTTTCAGAGGATAAGCTCGCTATCTGGAGACAAAAACCATTTTTCAATCAACTCTCTGTTCCAATTCTCTTTTGATGTCGTGAACTCAGCCACCTATATTAGATGATCTTCATGAGAAGCAGTAATGGGGAGGAAAGAGTTTGGACGTTGAATCCAAGGGCCGAAAACACTGTTTCGCCATAAGTGCTTTGTTAAATAAACTAGCTCACGAAATCCAATGCCTCACATCTTCTCCCAAGACAATCAATATTGAACTGAATCGAGAGACATAATTAAATGAGTTACGTAACTTTACCTTTAATTTAATTAAATTGGTGTTGTAGTGCCAATAATGCAGGATAATATTATTCAATTTACTTTATCTTGATCTACAATTTTTCCCACCAAAGATAGCATATAAATTTTAGCACTTATAAAGAAGACCAACATGTAGCTGAAATATTCAGTATATGTAGGAATTGACTGAGGAACTACTTTCATGAGTACTTTCTTATCTCTGATTGCAAACAATTTTCGACGCCATAATTAAAGCTTTTCTAAACCTACACCTCGAATAGATCCTCTTACTTCGGTCGAGCTGATGGTACTACATGATTAAGGACGTTGTAAGCCAAATAGGTCCTATTGCATTTTCGATGATGTGTAAGGACTGAAAGTTAAGTTGACTTTAGAATGTTGATTATTTTTACCCAACACCGTCTCGTAAATATTCATAATACCAACAATAATTCGACAATAATCTGGTGTAGTATGACAAAATACTAAGCTATCATCCGGAGAAAACGTGTGACTAACACGTGGACCATGTCTAGAGTAGCTGAAACCACTGAATTTGCCATCAAGCTCAACCCTTTGAAATAGCATGAGTCGCAGGCACGTGTGTGACCCCATTTAGCAGATAGAAAATGATGAAGTCGAAATACATTTCCAAATTAGCATAAGCGAAAATAATGATGATGATCGGTGTAACTAATTTTGTCAATCAACTCATTATTTTTGTTGGTTGAAATGACTAAGACAAACGAAAAGAGTAACTTGGTTCGTGTTAGGGGTGTCCAAAAGTCCCGAACTGAATCGAACGATTTTTCATAAATTAAATACTTGAACCGAGAACCGATAGGTTTGGGTCGGATCTCGAGTCTAGACCAAGAACCGAATTCTTATCTCTGATTGCAAACAATTTCCGACGCCATAATTAAAGCTTTTCGAAACCTACACCTCGAATAGATCCTCTTACTTCGGTCGAGCTTATGGTACTACATGATTAAGGACGTTGTAAGCCAAATAGGTCCTATTGCATTTTCGATGATGTGTAAGGACTGAAAGTTAAGTAGACTTTAGAATGTTGATTATTTTACCCAATACCGTCTCGTAAATATTCATAATACCAACAATAATTCAACAATAATCTGGTGAAGTGTGACAAAATACTAAGCTATCATCTGGAGAAAACGTGTGACTAACACGTGGACCATGTCTAGAGTAGCTGAAACCACTGAAATTGCCATCAAGTTCAACCCTTTGAAATAGCATGAGTCGCAGGAACGTGTGTGACCCCATTTAGCAGATAGAAAATGATGAAGTTGAAATACATTTCCAAATTAGCATAAGCGAAAATAATGATGATGATCGGTGTAACTAATTTTGTCAATCAACTCATTATTTTTGTTGGTTGAAATGATTAAGACAAACGAAAAGAGTAACTTGGTTCGTGTTGTTAAGTTGATGGACAAAACATAGTTTAGGAGCTTTTGCTACAAGGTGTATAGTTTAGGGATCAATTAAATTTTTTACAATAGACGTTAGGCAATTTTGTCTGCCAACTTAATCGAAATACAGTTGAGGTGAGGAATTTATTCACAAATAATCTGAAGTGTTGGACCATCCAATTAAAAAATATTTATCCAATTTTTAATTATAAAATAGATCGGAATTGGGTCAAGTGGAGGGGCCACAGAGCAACGATCTTTAGACCTCCGACTATTTTTCTCTTTACATTTTGATTAATCAATTGTTCAATCGGAAAATTCCTAATGGCGACTCGTTACTGGGCGGTGTCACTCCCAGTAGGCCAAACCTCCTCCCTCTGGAGCCGGCTCCAAGAATCCATTTCCAAATCCTCCTTCGATACCCCTCTCTACAGAGTAATTTTCACATTTATATGTTAATTATGTATTTAGTAGATCTAAAAGCTCGGATTCCGTTTTAAACCTGAATCTCGAAGACAAGAGTAGCTTGATTATGGTTTTCGGATTAAGTTTTTGACTGATCGAACTGCATTGAGCATTGATTTGGTATTGGAGCTTGTAAAGAAGAGTAGTCCAAGCTATTATTAATTCATGTTATTTTTTGGGCGCAAATTTTTTTTTTTGAGATAATGAATAGTAGTTTTGTTGAATTTTGCAGTTCAACATTCCAAATCTACGAGTAGGTACGCTAGATTCGCTGTTGGCACTGAGTGATGATCTATTGAAGGTTGATTTTTGTATTTTCTTGTTTCACTTTTTTAAGTTTCAGCTGATTCTGTGACATTGTATAATAGTTTAGGAAAGAATGGTTTTTGGGATTATATTTTGATTTTGTTTTTTCAGTCGAACAACTTTATTGAAGGAGTGTCACACAAAATCCGGAGACAGATAGAGGATTTGGAGAGGGTTTCAGGAGTGGTCAGTAGCTCACTCACGGTAGATGGAGTTCCTGTTGACTCTTATCTCACTAGGTAATTGCTCGTACTTTTTTTTCGCTTTGGACTACATTTGATATATTTGTTAAATTGTTCAGTAAATTGACTAATTTAATTTGGAAAATTTTTGTAATGTGTAGATTTGTGTGGGATGAGGCAAAATATCCAACAGTGTCACCATTGAGGGAGATAGTGGATGGAATTCATGTACAAGTCTCCAAAATTGAGGATGATCTCAAGGCATGTTCATTTGTTTTGCGTTGATTCACAGACACAGTAGTTTCGTTGATATGAATATGAATTTTATGAATTCAGCTAAAAGCCTTGCCTTTCCATATCAAATTTGTCAAAATTCTAGACAACTGTGATAATGTTCTCGAGTTATCAAATATATAGAAAGATATTCCCGTTTTATCTGCTACATGTGAATAGGAGAAATGGGTGCAAACATTAACGTTGCCTAGTCCCCTACACTGTCATTCTACATATTCACAGTAGCCTATAATTATAGTACTATGACAGGATTGTCATATTAATGACCAATAATTAAAATAGTAGTCGATTCCATGCAGCTTCTTGACCAATTATGATTATCCTTTCAGGCGACTTAATTTCCAAGTAGCCATAAAACTTATCTGGGCTTTTTGTTTTAATGGTGGACATCTGTATTTTCTCCCTGGCATCTTAATTTTGATTTCAGTCAAGGGCATCTTTGATAAGATGGAAATTTAAATGAGGTTTATTATAAGCTGCTTCACTATACTTTTTAAGAGCCTTCCATCTCAAGATATTTGAATTAGTCCAGGCAGTTATCTTATAGAATGAGCCATATTCCATGGAGGCATAATATGGTTCTTGAATTTATCGTTCAGTTTTTACTTTTTGAGTCTTACTCCTAGAATAATTTCCATGTGAGCCTTAAGTGTTTCCATTTGGACTCCTGCTCAATTATGAAAATGTACTTCTTTTGTTTTATAATGCTCATAAATCTGTTTGTTCTGATTGAAGTCATGTTAGGAGAGCTGTGGGATGGTTTTGTAGGAAAAGTGCATATATATTGGATTAATGTTTCCTTAGTTATGAACTCTCTTATGTGAGTAGTTTACCAGTTAGCTCTTCTTTACTAGTAACAAGTCCCTTCAAATATTCATTTGGTGATTTTACTAACCCGAGTTAAATCTCTCTGGCCATTCTGTTTTCTCCTGACTTCTTACTTAGATATTGATCCTAAGCAGTTCCAAACACTCATTTGTCTATGTCTCAGTATTTGTTTCATAACTTAAGTTGCCAGCATTGTTTTTTAACACTTTTCCCAGATTTTACGGGATTGGATAGGATGATCTTTGTCAAGCAACCGTGGTTAATGGTTATGTACTGTTGCATAAAGAAAAATAATTTACTAATACCTATTTATTCAAAATAACACATGATGTAGTTTTAGAAGTTCAGAACTAGCAAACTATTCAGTGCTCATTGAATAAAATTCAGATCTATTCATTTTGAAAATTTTGCACAACAAAATTATTGTCATCAATAGTGCCTAGTGCAGTCTTGATGAGCTGAGTCATTATATAGAAATAGAAGTAAGGACAATATAAGAATGATACGTAAGGCCTTGCATCCATCGTTCAGATATTATGTATTTATATCCCTCAGAATTTGAAGCTTGAGTAGTTATTGTAGAGACTAGCTTCAACTGTAAAATTTTAAGCCTTGGTTTGGATTGTACAACCTTGTTTGAAATAACCAGCTGAAATGTTTTAAGGTCCTCTTTTACCTTTTGGTGACTGATCTTTGTTGACGTATTGAAAATGAAAGCTCGTTGAGTTGTGTTTTAAACACAATATAATTTATTAATCCTAGTCTGTTGCCATCTCCACGTTGGCTGTCTCGAACCATTTGCCTGAAAGAGGAAATATCATGGAGTGAGATTTATAAAATCCTCATAAGTACGGTATGAATTATTGTCGTGAATAACTTAAAGGAGCATAATAATCATAATCAATATAATGGAGACACAAGAATTTTATCGAACATAGGTAATAAGAATTCTTATGTGTAGCGCTACTAAACTTCGTTCCCCTTAACATAATCATAATCATATTGTACCATATGAGACCCGTAATAATTTTCTTGAAATTTATAACATAATAATAATCTAAACATAGGTAGCGTACTTACCGTGAAATTTAAAAAAAAAAGAGTGATAGAGACGGAATAAAATTACTTGATCCCTCTTACAATTTCTACCTCGGCTATGTGCATGTATATGTGTATATTATTTGGACTGAAAAAAATAATAGTGAGTGGTGGCATATGAATGTGAATGAGGGGCTTAAATAGGACAAGACTAGGCATGCATCATTAAGGAAAAATCCATGATAGAGGAAAGACTATTAATTCTAGTATTGAAAATTGTTCCTTGAAATTAGGGATGGCAACGGTTCGGGGCCACCTCCCCCGACCCCCGTCCCGCCAAGCAACTCCCCGCACCGCCTTGTTACCCCGTTTAAAGCATGGCGGGGCGGGGCGGGGCGTCTTTTTTTTTTTTTTTAAAGTTTTTTA